ATTTTGCACTTGAAAAGACATGCAGACCTACCAGGAACTGCTGAGAGAACAGAAGATTTGCATTTGAAGGAATGACCTGCAGGAAAAAAAAATTGACTGTTTCACTTCTTGAATTTCGAGCAAGTGGTTTGTTGTTGGATGCACTGAGGCAGGAAAATCCAGTGCCCATCAGAAGGAACTCCCTTCTAGGACTGGAAGTTAAAGGAAGCTGGTGAGTAGACAGCTTGGTATGCTCACTTGTGGTGACCACCTGGGTCCATGCATGAGTGGAAGTGGGGGAGGTGCAGCAATGAAGAGACAGGATGAGTTTGAATATGTTCCAATGGCACCCATCGATCTAGCCCATGGGGGCTAGGGATGAGAGAGAGAGAAGTGAAGGGAGTTGTGTGGACTTTAAAGTTTACAGGTGGAGCCTGTTGACCTAGACCAAGGGAGCTAGGGATGAGAGAGTGTCAAGGGGCTGTCTGAAGTGCCAGGAGGTGTATGTAAACTCTCTAGCTTAAGGCTGCCACCCGTTGTGACCTAGCTTGGATGGTGTCATGGATTGAATTATGTCCCCCCAAAAATGTGTGTATCAATTTGGCTGGGGCATGATTCCTGGTATTGTGTGATTTTCCTATATGTTGTAAATCCTGCCTTTATGATGTTAATGAGGGAGGATGGGTGGCAGTTGTGTTAGTAAGGCAGGACTCAGTCTACAAGATTGGATTGTGTCCTGAGGCAATCTCTTGAGATATAAAAGAGAGAAGAGAGCAGAGAGATGGGGGACCTCATATTACCAAGAAAGCAGTGCCAGGAGCAGAGCATGTCCTTTGGACCCAGGCTCCCTGCGCAGATAAGCTCCTAGTCCAGGGGAATATTGATGAGAAGGCTGACAGAAAGAGAAAGGCTTCCCCTGGAGCTGACATCCTGAATTTGGACTTTTAGCCTATTTTACTGTGAAGAAATACATTTGTTTTTGTTAAAGCCATCCACTTGTGGTATTTCTGTTATAGCAGCACTAGATGACTAAGACAGAATTTGGTACCAAGAGAGTGGGGTGCTGCTCTAACAGATACCTAAAATGTGGAAGCAGTTTTGAAACTGTGAATGGAATAGAGGAGCGACAGTGGCAGAGGACCAGCAACAGCAGAGAACCTGCAGCAGCAGAGGAGCAGCAGTGGCAGAGAACCAACAGCAGCAGAACCAGGAGACCAGCACGACACGGCCCTGGAGCCAACCCACAGAGCAAGAGAGCTGAGTGCCTGTGCGCAGGAGGCTTCCTGGAGGAGTGGGATGCCTCCGGGCACTTACTGGTGGAGCTACAGAGCTTCGGAACACTTGCCCCAGCAGGGCAGATGTGGGCATTGAGGCCCTAAGACTGAGAGGTCACAGGAAACAGAAACAGAAGCTGAAGAGACAAGGAACACAAAAAGCCAGGCTGTCTCAGTCTCAAAAGGTATGGCCATGAACTCTGGGGTTTCAAAGGGTGGAGCCATGGCCTCTGGTGCTTCTAAGGGTGGAGTCCCCACTCAGATGGACTGCGAGACTGGTGTGCCTAAAGCCAAGGGAGCAGAGTTGCTGTCCCAGTGGGCCTGGAAGGTGGAGCTGAAGCCCAGGGCCGAGGGGCTCCCACTCAGAATCTGGAGACTGTGGCCAATACCTAGAGTCTGGAGGGCAGGGCCATTGTGTAAATTGTCTCAGTGAACAGAGGTTTATTTTCAAAGCCTTGAGGGCTAATGTAATGTGTTCTGCTGACTTGCTTGGTGCCTGTTATCCCTTCTTTCCCTCCAGTTTCTCCCATTTGTAATGGAAATGTCTAGCTTGTGCCCGTTCTGCCATTGTGCCTTTGGAAGCAGATAACTTGTATTCTAGATTTCACAGATGAAGAGGAATTTTTGGATTTTGGACTTGGAGTTAAGACTTTTGCTATGATATGATGGGGTGAATATGTTATCCATGTTGCAAGGATGTGATTTTGGGGGGGCCAAAGGGTGGAATATCATGCTTTGAATTATGTCCCCCCAAAAATATGTGTATCAATTTGGCTGGGCCATGATTCCTAGAATTGTGTGGTTGGCATCCATTTTGTGATTGTAATTTTATGTTAAAGAGGATTAGGGTGGGATTGTAACATCACCCTTACCCAGGTCACATCCCTGATCCAATGTAAAGGGAGTTTCCCTAGGGTGTGGCCTACACCACCTTTTACCTTACAAGGGATAAAAGGAACAGGTAGCAATCAGAGAACTGGGGGACCTCATACCACCAAGAAAGCAGTGCCAGGAGCAGAGCGTGTCCTTTGGACCCGGGGTCCCTGCACGGAGAAGCTCCTAGTCTGGGGGAACATTGATGAAAAGGCCAACAGAGAGGGAAAGCCTTCCCCTGGAGCTGACACCCTGAATTTGGACTTTTAGCCTACTTTACTGTAAGGAAATAAACTTCTCTTTGTTAAAACCATCCACTTGTGGTATTTCTGTTATAGCAGTACTAGATAACTAAGACAGATGGCTAGGGATGGCCAGAACTCCACCAAATGAAGGGAAAGAAACATGTCTGAAACTTTGAGCTAGTGTAAATTGCTGCAATTTGATGGCTTGCTCTGGACTGGACTTTGCTTATGGATGCAGATACTCAAAGTTCCAACCAGAACAGAAGATTCTTGAGACCAAGGAACATGCTTGTCTCCTCAGAGTACAAGCTTTGATAGGGACAGGCAATTTATTGTTTATTAGCTATCTAAAATAGGAGGAGATAAAGGCATGAATGGCTGGCTTACATGCTTTCATGGGTGTGCTCACACTCAACATGAGGGGGACAAGGGGGGACCCCCACTGAATAGATTCTTCTTTCCTGATGGGTCTGGGGAAGAGAGGGTAGGAAGATGCTGATAGCATTATATTATTCAGTTGTGAGTGTTGATTGTTAACAGGGTTGTGATTGTAAAAACTGTAATTGTAGAAGCTATAAGTATGAAAGAGTGGACTAAGGGGGAGGCACTGCTGGACTGGAATACAGTGGCTGACTGTATAGTCCCTTAAAGGTTTTCCTATGCTGATAACTTATGAGGCTCAGAGCAAGGGAATAATCTTCTCTCAGTTAATTTTTATCAGACACCAGAAAGTGTGAAGCTGAGATGACTTTTGGAGAACCTGACTAGTTCAGATGGACACCCGAAGCAGACTTGAATGGCTGGTACCTGAGTAACCTTACCCCAAAGACTCTTTGCCCTATTGAAGGATTAATCGTTAATGACTGTTTTGGACATGTAAAATGATTGGGAGGGGGGAAATTATCCTCCAAGTATGAAAGAACCATGGCTAGAAAAGCCTGCAGTGTGATGGATGGCCTTTGTGTGGCCTATCACACCATGGTATTGTAACTCCCACCCAACTGATTGGGTGGGACTGTGCAAATAGGTAATTGTGGCCTATTAAGGGGAGTGGGCAGTTTTGCCATCCCACTAGGCTTAAAAGAGAGCCAATTCCAGAGCAGAAAGAAGACCTCACCACCAACAAGGAAGAAAGGCCAAGAGCAGAGAATATCTTTGGACCCGGGATCCCTGTGCTGAGAAGCTCCTGGAACAAGAAGACCAAGAGAGAGAGGGCTGTAACACTGAAGACAGCGAGAAGCAGTGGCAGAGAAATGGCGGCAGGAGAGACTGGCAAGGAGACAAGACATCTGAGTGCCTTTGGGAGGAGGCTTGCTGGCAGAGTAGGGTGCCTCCAGGCACTCGGTGGAGCTAGGTTTGCTGACCCACAGGAGCTACAGCTGAGCATCTTCGGGCCAAGGCTTACTGGCAAGTGGGGTGCCTCTGGGAACTTATCAGCAGAGCCAGAAGAGCTTTGTAACACTTGCCCTAGCAGGGCAGAGGATGAAGAGTCAGAGAGAAGCGTGCCTGCAGGCATGGCTAAGAATAGGCTGTCCTGATGGATGAACTGTATCCTGGGTGTTCCTCAACCTGAATTGTGACCTGTTACCTCCATAATAAACCCCATAATCATGAGTATTGTCTGTGAGTTCTGTGTGGCTATTGCACTGAATTATCAAACCCAACAGGGAAGTAGAGTTTGCCATGAGAGGGACAGTTGGTGTCAGAATTGGTAAAGATGGTGGAGGGACGAGGCATGTCTTAACCTCTGCCTCATAGGAATCAGCCTTGGGCTGTTGATCTTGATTCTCCTTCCTCCTTGTGAAGTTAGAGGAGATCAGACATCTCTCCATGTCATTTTTACAGGGTAGACTTCTAGGAAAAGCCAAAGAGGGGAGGACTCAACCCTCATCACTCCTGATGGTAACAGGCCTTGGCTAGTCAGTCTGCTGGCCTGGCCAAAGACCTGGGACCAGTTGTAAATTAGTAATGACCTTTCACATACACTTTTATGTCAGTTATTATTATTATTTGGCAATGGAACTGAAAATTGTGACAAATTTATAATAAAGGAAATCTTGCTTTGCAATAGACAGAAAAAAACTAGAAAATATACAACTGAAGGATGTACTCCCACAACATTATGCCAGTCCCTGGTACTTGTTTCCCAGTATCCATTTTTCCCTTCTTCCTCAGTAGCCAAATCCCAATTTTGTTCAGGGTAGCAATGTGCCCATTTAAAAACACTCATCTTCCCAGACTTCCATATAGCCACATCGCACAGCTTCTAGACAACAAGATGTGAGCAAAGGTCTACTTTTAATTTCCAAATTAAAATACAACAAACTCAGCTGGAAAACCCCTTAGTCCTTCACCCTTCTACCTTTGACTCTTCCTCTTTGACTTGCCTGGGACATGTATGTTGATAATAAATGATAACAGACATAACAAGTAGATATACAAAAGAGATGTTAAGATAGTATACAAACAACTATAACTCACATTCATTCATCAAAACTCACACTTTCAATAGTAGTTAATAAACTAAGTCTTATCACAATAGTAAGAAAGTAAGAATGTTCTAGAAAACAATGACTATAAATTATACTGGAATAGAACTGAGATAATTATTTATTACACTATCACTCACCAAAGAAACCCAGAACTTCTCTGGTCCAGAGTAAAATCCACAGAGGATTTGACAGGGAGTGGATGGAATGAAGATTTCAGGTAATGGCTCCTCCTCCTCCTCCTCCTCCTCTGCCTGCTCCTCCTGGAATACTTTTTCTCCTTCTTCTCCCAACTCTTCTATTAGTTGCTTCCTCCTTTTTTCCCTCTCTTTCTCCTTCAACTCCATTTGTTTCTTTCTCTTTTCAATTTCTATTAATCTCTTTTTTAAAAGAGACATTAAGAAGATATAAAAACATCTGTAACTCACATTCATGCATTTATACTATTGGGGATAGACAAAGAAAGTAGAAAGAAGATAGAAAAATGCACAGTTCTGATATAACCAATAACGCCATTTAAAAATAGTTATCGATTTGGGGAAATATTTTTATTATTAGAATGTTCAAATCATTGGAATGACTATCATTTCTGTTTTACTCCCATCAATCCTGGTTTTATAGAAATTATTTAGTCATTTTTTTCCTAATAAAGAAGTTAAATACAGTTTCTCAAAGAGCTTATCACTGTCAACTGTGAATTAGGCAAACTGAAATAATCCACAAGAAAAGTTGTTTCCAACATTAGTAATCTGTGATTTAGGCCCTCACCATCTATCAACTGGCCATTGCAAAAGACTCCTAACACTGGTTTCTCTACCTCCCATCTTTCACCTCTTCATTCTGTTTACCCTTCAAAATCATCTTCTTAATTTATACAATCTCATCACAACAGTCCCTTCCTCAAAAACTCACAGTTGATCCCAATGGTCTAGGAATTAAACTGAACATCTTGGCTAGCATTAAAGAGCACATGTGCTGGTTAGACTCTTGTCACATCCCTGCACAATTGTATCTATCAGCTTCACTAGTCCATTCTTCATTTCTTAAAAACACCAAAAACGCTCACAACTCTGCCTTCCCTCAGGATGTTCTCTCAGCCTTTAGTGCCCTTCTCTCCATTTTCATTGTGTCAAAATCCTTCCCATTTTTAAAGTTAATGTCACCTCCACGCAGCCATCTTTCACCACCACCCCCCACCCCTTCATCAGAATCGTATCTCCTTCTCTCCTTCCTTCTGTACACTCCAGGATACCGTGTGTGTGTGTGTGTCTGTGTGTGTCTGTGTGTGTGTGCTTGCGCTTTAGATGAAGGTTTACAGAGCAAATTAGTTTCTCATTAAACAATTAATACACATATTGTTTTGTGACATTGGTTGTCAACCCTGTGACGCATCAACACTCTCCCTTTCTCGACCTTGGGTTCCCCATTTCAATTCGTCCAGCTTTCCTGTCCCCTCCTGCCTTCTCGTCCTTGCCCCTGGGCTGGTGTGTCCATTTAGTCTCATATATATGGTTGAACTATGTGCATTATTATTTGTTTTACGGGCCTGTCTAATCTTTGGCTGAAAGGTGACCTCAGGAGTGACTTTAGTACTAAGTTAAAAGGGTGTTTGGAGGCCTTACTCTCATGGTTTCTCCAGTCTCTGTCAGACCAGTAAATCTGGTCTTTTTTCGTGAGTTAAAATTTTGTTTTACAGTTTTCTCTGACTCTGTCCAGAACCCTCACTGTGATCCCTGTCAGAGCAGTCAGTGGTTGCAGCCAGGTACCACCTAGTTGTGCTGGACTCAGTCTGATGGAGGCTGTGGTAGTTGTGGTACATTAGTTCTTTGGATTAATCTTGCCCTTGTGTCTTTAGTTTTCTTCATTCTCCCTTGCTCCAGTGGACACCCTTAGGATTCTTTTCTTTGTATTTTGGTATTTATTCACATCTAAAACAGTTGGCTGCTTTCTTACAAGATTATATATTCCTTAAGGTCTGGGACTATATCTTATTCTTCTGCGTATTTCCCAGCACATTGTTGTTGTTAGGTGCCGTCGAGTTGGCTCCAACTCGTAGCAACCCCATGTACAACAGAATGAAAACCTGCCCAGTCCTGCGCCACCCTCACAATCATTGTTGTGCTTAAGCCCATTGTTGCAGCTACTGTGTCAGTCCATCTCATTGAGGGTCTTCCTCTTTTTCGCTGACCCTCTACTTTACCAAGCACGATGTCCTTCTCCAGGGACTGGTCCCTCCTCATAACATATCCAAAATATGAGAGACGAAGTCTCGCCAACCTTGTTTCCAAGGAGCATTCTGGCTATACTTCTTCCAAGACAGGTTTGTTTGTTCTTTTGGCAGTCCATGGTATATTCAATATTCTTTGCCAATACCATAATTCAAAGGCATCGATTCTTCTTCAGTCTTCCTTATTCATTGTCCAGCTTTCGCACGCATATGAGGCAACTGAAAATACCATGGGTTGAGTCAAGTGTACCTTAGACCTCAAACTGAAATATTTGTTTTTTTAATACTTTAAAGAGGTCTTTTGCAGCAGATTTGCCCAATGCAATACATCATCTGATTTCCTGACTGCTACTTCCATGGGCATTGATTGCGGATCCAAGTAAAATGAAATCCTTGAAAACTTCAATCTTTCTCCATTTATCATGATGTTGCTTATTGGTCCAGTTGTGAGGATTTTTTTTTTTTTTTAAATGTTCAGGTGTAATTCATACTGAAGGCTGTAATCTTTGATCTTCCTCAGTAAGTGCTTCAATTCCTCTTCACTTTCAGCAAGCAAGGTGTGTCATCTGCATATCACAGGTTGTTAATGAGTCTTCCTCCAATCCTGATGCCATGTTCTTCTTCATACAGCCTAACTTCTTGTATTATTTGCTCAGCATACAGATTGAATAAGTATGGTGAAAAGATACAACCCTGACACACACCTTTCCTGACTTTAAACCACGCAGTATTCCCTCCTCAGCACATAACACAGGATATTTTGTATTCTAAAGAAAGGAAAAACATTAGAAGATACTGCTTCAAGGATATCTCATACCAGAATCTTAGACTTGACACTTGTGAAACGGAAACACTTTATGTTCATGTCTTTGATTTCATAGGAAACTACATCATGATCTTCCTCATCCTCATTTACGGTTGGAAGTGGAGCTTCAAGAATGTAGCCATTCTCACAGATAATCAGTAGAGTACTTTCAGGCTTAAAAAAAAAAAGAAAAGATTAAACATCATTTACAGTTGGGCAAATTTTTTGAAGCATAGTTCAAAAGATTATAAATCAGGGAAAATAAAATTGCTACATATATTGAGCGTTTTTTCAAAAGATATTTAATTCCTCACTGGTAATAAGTCAAGCTGAGATTTTTCTGTATTCAAAATTAGGCTTATATTTGTTTCCTTTATAGATACCAGAACATTTTTTGAACCAAAAATATGGTTATGAAGTTTTTAGACAAAAAAGGAAGGGTATTAAAAATAAGAGTGGCAAGGAAAATCTGCGGTGTGTGGATGGCATATTCTGTCTGAGCCTCCTTTGAAGGCTCATTCACCATCTGCCTGATTTCATTAAATGTGGATGTTCCCAAGGATTTTTTTCCTCTTCCCTCTTCTCTTCTCTCTATAAACTCTCCCTGGAAAACCTTATAGACAACCCAGCCTTCATTATCAGTCACATGCAGTTAGATTCCAAATTAATCTCTCCAGCACAGATCTCCCTCTTGAGCTTCAAAACCACATATTTAACGTATGGGAAATCCCATCTATATATTCCTCAGCACAGTGTTCAATATGTTTATTCATTCATTCATTCATTCACTCAGTTACTTCATTCTACAATTATTTATTATGTACCTACTATGTACCTGGCAAGGAGCACTGGTTGCTCAGTGGTTAAAGCACTTGACTGCTAACTGAAAGGTCAATGGTTCAAAACTACTAGCAGCTTCATGGGAGAAAGATGTGGCAGTTTGCTTTCATAGAGATTTACAGCCTTAGAAACCCTATGGGGTCGCTATGAATTGGAATTGACTCAATGGCAGTGGAGTTATGTACTTGGCATTGTGTTAAGTGCTAGAGATAAAATTATAATAAGAAAAATAGGTACAGTCTCTGCCATTATGGAGCCTACCACTCATCATTTAACAAATGTAAATCATAACTGCAACAACTGCCGCAGAGGTGCCATGAGAGCAAGGAGGTGATGCAAGGCCTCCTGAGAGGGTGGGCCCTGAGCTTTGAGCTGAAGGATGAGCAGAGGATAAGTACAGGATGGCTTAGGGAGCATGTGAGGGAGCATTCAAGCAGTGGAGCCCCATGTACAAATGTCATGTATCAGGAGGAAGCTGCACATTAGAGAAACTGGAGGAAAATCTGTGTGTCTGGAGCACCAAGAGCAAAGTGTGCATGCATGGCAGGCAGGATGGGAGGACAGAAGTACAAATGGTAAAAGAAGAGGTGGGTGGTCATGCAGTGCCCTGTAGGCAAGGCGAGATGTTGATCTTTAGCTTAAGAACAAGAGAAAGTCTTGAGGGGCTAAAAGCAGAGATATATAATCAGTTACACATTTTGAAAACATTGTTTTGGCCACACAGTGGAGAATAAATTGAGCAGAGGGGAGGCAACTATAGTAGTCTAAGACGGTGATAGCTTAGACCAGGGCGGTGGTAGTGACGATATATAAAATTGGACAGATTTGAAGATATTTGGGAGGTAAAAATCAATAATCTATCTTGAGGATGCTATGGATGATGGAAATACTAATATTAGCCCTCAGATACTTGAATGAAACTGTTGTATAAATGATGATGACATTTACTAATATAAGGAATACCGGAGCATAAGAGGATTGGGGTGGGATGATCGTAGATTGGTTTGGACCAGTTTCATTTAAGCTGCGTTTGAGTCATGTAAGTAGCAATGTCAATTAGGAAATCAAATATACAGATATGGACCTAGAGGAGAAGTCTGGACTGTCTATATAAATTTGGAGTTATAAGAAAGTTGTTGGCTTGGATGGTATCACCTAGGGCAAGAGTACAGAGGAGAGAAGAAACTGAGATGGAGCCCTGGGAAACTTTAACACTCAGTGTTGAAGGAGACTGAGAAGGAATGACAAGATGTGGAAGAGGGAATCTGAAGAGCATAGTGTCACAAAAGTCTAAGGGAGATGGTGTTTCAAAGAGGAAGGAAAAGCCAACAGGATAAAAAGTCAAGAAAGATAAGAACTAAAAATGTTAAATGGATATCACTGGTGTCCTTAGAAAAGCTGATTTGGTGGAATAAAGAGACTAGAAGCTAGATAAGAGCACGTAAAGGAGAGAATGAGATGTAAGAAAGTGGAGTCTGTGGGAAAAGTCAGTGAGCTGAGGAGAACATGAGGCCAAGGAAAGTTGGGGTTTTCTTTGTAAGTGGAGAAACTTTAAAATATTGATGAAAATCATTTAGTAAACAGGAGAGGTTAACTTTATATGATAGAAAAAAGAAAAATAATGTGAAATCTTGAAAAAAGTGGAAGAGAGTGAAATATAAAGGATAAGAGGCAGAATTTGCCTCAAGTAGGAAGGGAGACAGCTCCTCTGTTGTAAGGATAGAATGTTATGTTGGGTACTGGGAAGCTGGAGTTTCTGCCTGAGTTTTGTCCTAGCTTTTCTATGGACTAAGTGATGCTTGAGAGTGAGAGTGCAAGTGGGAGTCTCGAAGTTTTGAAAAGAGGAGAAGTTTTGACATAGTCATTGTGGGTGAAACAGGGAGCTGATAAGAGCAATGTCTAGGATTGCTAAACTATCCCATGGGTTGTGTGGAGGCCATCTGAATCACTAAATTATGAAAGGTTAATCTTCTCTGATGTGTGACTCTTTCTGGAAGCTCTTGGCTGATCACTGTAGGGAAATATAAATCAGTCGGGTGCATTCAGGAATAGGCTTTTGCCAGATGGGTATGAAGAAAACACAGAAGGACAAGGGACATCAGGACATTGAAAGAATGGTATTGATCCTTATTGAAATGAAGAATCATTCAATTTAAGCTCAATATGAAGGGAATGAAGATAAGAGTAGAATGATGGGTTAGAGAAAGCAAAGAGATAAATGAACAAGAGGTCCCTGTGACATCAGAGAACTACTGGAGCAGGAGTAGCCAAATGAACAGGTTGGAAGGGAGAGAGGTTGAGGTTAGAGAGCTGGATATTTAAATAGTTGGTTTTAAGGTTGAGTTCTCAGAAGTGATAATACCATCCAGTGGGTGAGCTGTAAGATCACTGAAGATAAGGGGTTCAGAAGTTCAGAGGCTGATGCTGTTTGACTGATTATCCATATGCTGCTGATAATCAGAATTGCTTTCTGTCGCTGCATTCTACAGCCCCACTGCAGGACCCAGGAGTGGGGCTAATAATTCCAACTGTTATTCTCTACCAGATCACTTCGTTATGTAGTAATTGAGATTTAAGCATAAAGACGAATAATAGTTACTTACATGAGCGGTCGTAGACCACATTAACTGGCAAACAGGTCCAGGAGTAGTAATATAACCTATTGGTTTATAATCCTTTTCTACTTCAAAGAAGAAGACAGTTTGGTCTTTACTCTAAAAGAAGAGAGACAGACCCAACAAATGCATTTTATTATGAAATCTATTCCAGTGAGCAAAAAGAAGCTTTTAATAGCATATAGTATATCCACTGTATACTTATACCTACAGCTCTGAAAATAGGATCATCATACTTACACACGAGATTTTCACAAAACAAAGCCACAATACATATGCCTTCCTATCAATGCATGAAGAATTTACACAGTTATTCTCTTAATTTATGGAAATTCTATTGAAGACCATAACCATGCTAAGAAAAATCACTGAAACTGATTACAAATAAGATGTCTAGCATGATTCTTAGTTAAAATTTTCTATTCATTTTAAGTAAGAAAAGCATTAGAACTAAATTTGTAAGCATGTTTTAAAACATCATGCAGAGACTACCCTGAAAGAATATGAATACAAAGAAAAATATGACTATATTCCTTAGAAAATTAGTATCAGTTAAATAAGGCATGATCAGGTAGGGATATTTACAGGGTTAACCATGAGCTTTTAATAGAAAACAAAAGGAAACATTATTTACCGCTGTGGCTAGAATTTCTCCATCACGTTCATAAGCTAAAGCAGTGACAGGAGCAGTGTGGGGTTTGAAAACCTGTTTCAGTTGGATCTCTGCATCCAAAATTTTCTTCCGTCCTGCAAAAACTGCAAGCTCTTTTGGATCATAAAGTTCAAGAACTCGAACAACCCCATCTTCAAATCCTGCAATAATCTGTGCTCCAGTATAGCTTACCTTGGGCAAAAATTAAATGCAAGGGACTTAAAATTAGTTAAGAAAGTATTGTACTAAACAATAGATAACTGTTTTACTTAGACTTAAGTAATTTAGCACTGGCTGCCCACTGGTAATTCTTTATACGACTGGTAACTTCCATCTATTCTAGGACAGTTCCTGATCACTGCTGACCCTGAGAAGTGTAAGCAATGACAATCAAAGGCTCACTGAACCATGCTGGTAGAGTCCCTACCTACCACATGCCAGGCAGCTGTCATCAGCAACCCAACAGTGAGCATAAACAGTCTCAGCCCCTGCTTTCACAGAGTTTATGGTTTAGTGGAGGGGACAGACATTAATCAATCACATAAATGAGTGTGGACTTACGAACTAAGTGCTAAAGGAAAGAAACATATTCTCTGAGAGCATATAATAAAGAAAGCAGACCTAGACTGAGGGCTTCCCTAAGGAAGAGATGGTGGAGCTGAGATCAGAAGGATGCTGTCTTAGTTATCTAGTGCTGCTATAACAGAAATACCACAAGTGGGAAGCTTTAACAAACAGAAATTTATTTTCTCACAGTTAGGAGGTTGGAAGTCCGAATTCAGGGCGCTGGCTCTAGGGGAAGGCTTTCTCTCTCTGTCGGCCCTGGGGGAAGGTCCTTGTCTCTTCAGCTTCTGTTCCTTGGTTCCGTGGTGATCTTCATGTGGCTTGGCATCTATCTTTCCCCTGTCTGCTTGCTTGCTTGCTTATTTAGTCTTTTTTGTATCTCAAAAGAGATTGACTTAAGACACTCCCTACACTAATCCTGCATCATTAACATAACAAAGAAACACTATTCCAAAATGGAATTATAACCACAGGTACAGAGGTTAGATTTACAACACATATTTTTTGGGGGGACAATTCAATCCATATCAGATGCCCAGGAGTTAACTAGGTAAAGGAAGGTGGGAAAAGGATTCCTGGGAAAGGAAGTCATTTGTGCAAAGGGCCTGTGGCAGAAAAGGACATAACTTAGGAAAAGTTACAGTCTGACTAGAGCAGACTGGGTGAGGGAGTAATGTTTCCATAAGAAGCTGGAGAGAAAAAGAGGCAGATCCAGATCTCGAAATGCCTTACATGTCCCATTAAGGACTGTCCTTATCCCAAGAGCAATGATAAGCCATCAAAGTCTTTTTAGGTGGGGGAGGGGGAGTTGACATGATCAGATTTGCTATTTCAAAAAAGTCATCTTAGCTGCAGTGTGAAGAATAGAGCTGAGATGGCCTAGAGAATATCAAAGGAGACCTTTGGGAAGGCCTTTTAAGAGAGGTCTGTCACACTCCCAGAGAATGATCATGGTCACATGGTCTGAGGTGGTGTAGTAGAGATGAGAGGAAGTGGACATATTTGAGAGAGATTTACAAGGCATAATGGATCAATTTGGTGATAGTTGGATATGGGGGAGGATGCAGAAGGCAGTGTCAAAGATGCCTGATGGAGCCATTTACCAAGACAGGAAACACTGAAAGAGAGCCATGCGTATGTGTGGTTTGCTGTTGCTGCTATTGTTGTTTTAGAGGGAGTGGTGGCTGGGGGGTGAGCAGAGAATCATGAATTTTGTCTTGGCCATGCTGAGTCTGAGGTATCCTCAAAATCTCAAAATGAAGATGACATATAGTCTGCAGCACAGAGGAGAAGTCTGGGCTGGAGATATCAATCTGCAACCTCTGAACGCACTAAAGCTGCAGGCTTGGAAGGCCTTCAGAAGGGTAAGCATCTAGGTATCCTTCAGAGCCAAGTGACCATCCCTGAGTCCAGGCAGGTTTGGACTTCAGAATAGGAAAATTGCACTCCACAGAGTGTCTTCGACATTTCTAAGTGTCTAAAATGTACTAGTATCTGTCAAGGCACTGGAGGTTCAATGAAGAATAAGGCAAAGTTGCCACCATGAAGAACAGAGAGTACAACAGGAAACAAAGACAACAGAGCAAATAATGTCAGTACTCTATGAAAAGTACTATAAGAGAGGTATGCACACGGTCCTGGAAAAAACTATCACAGAGTTTTTTCAAATTCTCTGCTTGAAGGTGGGGTCAAGGAGAGTATGCAGAGGAAGTGATGATTGACCTGAGATGAGTCATAAAGAATGATGTGGAGTCTTCCAGAAAGGCAAGGGGGTATGGAGAAAGAGCACTCCAATTCTAGCATAATCTCCATATGATCATTACTCGGATGTCTGGCTAAAAAAGGAAACTTTCTATGGATATTGCACAACCATCTGAATAAATGTTTCAATTACCTGGGCTGTATTTTAAAAACCTCAAGTAAGAGTATACATAGATTTGGACAAAGAATGTGCCAGGTTCGGCAATCCTAATACTCCGTGGTTTCTACTTATCCCAGCCTCATCATTTTTCTGGCTGTGTTCCCTGGCATGACTTCTCCTTCTGGTCTTGATCCCATCATGATATTCCTCTCCATCCCAGCCATTTGCACATCTGTTTTGGGCCTGGAACATTTTCTCTTTGATTTAAACCCAAAACTTTAAAGATAAAACAACTCCCCAAGGCATTTTTAAAACATGGTTACAAATTCTTTGACATGTCTTCCATGAAGAGATGAGGCTTAAGTCCCCTTCCCTTTAATCTGGGTGGGGCTTGTGACTGGTCCAAATGATAGAGTATGGTAGAAGTGCCACTACGTGGCTTCTGAGGTGAGATCACAAAAGGCCATGCACCTTCCACCTTGTTTGTTGGAACACTAGCTCTTGGCGCCATGTAACAAGTGTCACTACCCTGAGGCCACCATGCTGTGATGAAGCCCAAGCCACATAAGCCACATGGAGAGGCTATTATGTAGGCCCTCCAGTCAACAGTCCCAGCTTAGCCCAGCCTTCACGTCACCCAAGCCCAGGTGCCAGACTAGTAATAACTTTAGATGATTCCAGGCCCCAATCACTCAGGTCTTTCCAGCTAAGACCTCAGACATTGTGAAGTGGAGACAATTCATCCTTGTTGTGACCTGTCGGAATTTCCAATTCACAGATTATATGAGCAAAATAAAATGATTGTTGTTTTATGTCACTGCACTTTGGGGTAGTTTATTACATAGCAATAGATAATTAGAACAAATGCTTATGCTTGCCTCATGTTTCCTCCCATAGCTCTTAACATTACCTAACATACGACATATTTTATTATTTATTTTGTTTATTGTCTGTCTCTGCCCCTACCTCCCACTAGAGGACAAGGTTCATGAGGGGAAGTATTTTTGTCGTTTTTGTTCAGTGCTGCATTCCCAGAATCTAGACTAAAGCCTGGCACATGGTAACATTGTGAGCACTCTGAAAATACTAATAGGATGGATGTGTCTTGAGTCAGATAGACAGATACACAAAGTTCTTTCGTATAATTGCTTTATAACGTCTTAGGCTGGGTTCTCTAGAGAATCAAAACGAGTGAAGCATATATATATATATACAGAAAGAGAGAGATTTATCTCAAGGAAATGGCTCACATGGTTGTAGAGTCCCAAATCCATGGGTCAAGCATCAGGTTCAGGCTCCTCCTGACTCATGCAGCTGCAGGGGCTGATGAACCCAAGATCAGAAGGTCAGATGGCAGGCTACTGGCTCACAGGCTGTGGAGGCTGATGAATTCCAAGATCAGCAGGCAATATAGCAGGCCCCTGGCTCAAGTCCCAAGACCGGAGCTCAGATGATGACGAGCCAGATGCAGCATCCAAAGCAAGTTAGCGAACTTTGCCAGAACATCCACATATATTGGATGCAGGCCATACCCCTGAGGGAACGCCCCTTACCACAGACTGGCTGATCATATCAGATTATATCATGGAGGATGACTACATCATTACATAACTGCCAAACCACTGAGAATCATTACCCAGCTAAGCTGACTCACAGCCTTAACCATCATATAATATGATACTACTAATAACCTGCAAGCAGCATAAAAAAACAGAATTTTCATTAAAAACAAGGCCAAAATCACAACAATCATGAGGTTATGGTATGATTTCTATCACATTCTGAGTGAAATAAACTAGCTGAAATTTTTTTCATCTCTAAAACTTAGAATTAGAAAATACATTTCCAGGATACAAGATAAACATTCAAAAATCAGTTGGATTCCTATACACCAGTAAGGAGAACGATGAAAAGGAAATCAGGAAAACAATACCATTTTCA